GGAGTATTTCATGACACAAAGCTTAAAACCATTAGAGTAGCATATGTACATGTTATATAAGATACAGGACCAGAAGAGTGAAGCAGTTTATTGTGAGCAAAGTGGTCGTTGCTCATGAGGAAACACGACTGGAAACAAAAAAAAGGAGTAAATTACACTCTCAAAGAATCTTTATATCCATTCCAAAACCCACTAAATGCCTGCTCAATGCTTAAGCCATGTATCGTTCATGTTGGCAATGTGTCCAGCTGCTACAGCGTGCTGGAGCACAAAACTAACCTCAGTTTCAGCGGCAGATCAGAGCCTCATAGTTTGGCACGCAGAAAAGCTGATGAGAGAACGCCTCCTCCTTCAGCAACAGTGCTACACGCCAGCAAAGTGCATCAGAAAACTGCTGAGCTAATCCAAAGTGATCCTCCTTAAAATGAACACGGAAAACCTTGAGGAGTGTGGAACGACAGAGGCGAAAGGAAGCGAAAGAGGACGGGAATCAAAGCGATGAGTGCCGACGGCTGGGGGGGGGAGAGGAGGACGGGAGGCTGCTTGCGGGATGACGATGACCTTCCCACTGCTCCGTCGGGACAACCAGCATCGGCTCGGGGCGCGCGTCCAGAGACAGCCCCGCCCACAGCGAGAGGAGGAGAGCAGAGGGAGTGTGGAGGAGGCGGTCGGATGGGGGTGGGAGCCATCCTGATCTAGACTGTGCTTCTTTATACCCATCAGACACAAAGGAATAGGTCTAATGAGACACAATGGACAATGACACTATTTAGTCTCAAAAGGAGCTTCGTATGCCTCCGAGGCTGCAAGGTTAAAGCCTCCTGGTGCAATCGAACGCGTGTGAAAACAGTACACTGATTCATACAGAGCTCCCGGCCCGAGGTTCTCACCTTAGAAACAAGCAATAAATGTCTCATCAGCCAATTTCACTTGTAACTCAATTCAATATTTATCCTTTTTCATACAAGATAACATGATTTAATCTAGTTTTTCTGAAACAAGCACGAGTCAAATATCTGTGCTCCATCGGCCTTAACCGGGAAATCCACCCAAAGATGTGTTAATGTGTTTCCATATTTAAACTAGCTACCAGACCGTGAATGATGAGGGCCGACAACACTGCAGCACACATTAACGTTTCATTTGTGCACCAAAAAGACACAAGTATCTCAGCCCAGGTACGTTTACCCTGCCTGAAGGTTCACTCTGTCAAACCGTATCAAAATCATGTTCACTGACAGAAACACACGTCTCCGAAACAACTGAACAGACATCTTAATCTGACGTTGTTCTGATGAGGTGGCTCAGGAAGTGAATTCAACAGTTCGATGACTCAACCCTGCANNGGGGGGGGGGGGGGGGGGCAAAGGTCACACAGTATTGCAGCAATTGTAGCACCTGGCTCAGAAGTCAATACAAAAGCCCAAGAGAAGGAAACAGTGAAAGACAGTTCTTCTGTAAAAGGAACAACTCGTGGACTCGGCTGCTTTCTTTCCTTCTGAGCAGCGGACACTTCTATCTCTCCACAGCCCCACTCTTCATTAGTCTACATCTCCAGAGAAAGCCTCGAGCCTCGCATTATCACTTCTCCCTCTGGCAAACGCCATCATCACTCAGTCTCTTGTTTGGTCCTAATCCCTCCCTACCATCACTGCACTACAGTCATCCACGTCAACTGGGCTTTCTGCTGGTCTCAGAGAGGAGGATCAACTGAATAACCCTTAATTGTGCTTACTTGCTGCTGCCAAGTGTAATTAAAAACACACTCTTAGTGACTTCAGGGCAGGGTGAAAACTCATCAGACGTTGCCATTTTCTTTCTTAAAACTGATTGGGTTTGGTTTTAAGGAAGCCAGACTAAAAGGTTGTTTGTCTTACAACCTTACTGGAAAGCTTTACTGGATACAAGCAAATGCAAAACAGAGCATTTGAGAAAGGGTGTGGTGCATGTTGGTGTTACGATAGTGAAACAGTAGCGTAGGAAAAGGAGAAAGGGCAGACTGCAGTGGGGGCATCAACAGGCCAGGGACCGATCTCTGTGCCATCTCCCCGAGAGACGCATTTCCTGAAGTTTGACGCCAACAGATCACTTCATCTTCCTCTGTTTTCCTGCACAGACAGCAATACAACACACCGTCCGCTTCACGAGCAGACACAAAGGGGGGGAGCCGGCCACCAAGGAGGGTGTGGCAGGGCCTGGGACAACCAGGAGGGAAAAGCCACTGACACTGTCCGTAGTCCTCCATCAGCCCACTGAGACCAGCTGCTACAGGGCTGTTTTCCTACCAGTAGCTGTCTGAACAAAGCCTGCCTGCATTTCACTACTGGTGCAGGAGGAGATACCAGGCGGAGCATCAGCAGAGCCTAAGGGGTTTAATGCATACACCTGTATTTATATATATATATATATATATATATATTATAACACTGATCTGAGCACAGCTCTACGATGATGCAGCAGTAGACATTTCATTCAATATCGTGGCAGCCGCATTTTAATGACTCTGCACAATCTTAATGTGCTTAGAAGACACAAAAAAACCTTCTTCTGACCATTTGCAAATGACTCTGAAACATAACAGAGCAGATCAGGTGGTCTATCACTTGACAGGCTCATTTTGTTATGACCATCGCAGTTCTTCATCGCCGATTAAAGGCAGACCTTTACTCGCTGTTTCCTTCGCCGGGTTCGCGGTGATACAGTCTGGATAAACACTCACAGGTTGATCTAACCTCGCAGGGAAGCTGAAGGCTTTCTGGTCTGTTCAGCGGGTCAGCTAGCTCCAGCTAACCAGCTAGCGTCACCACTCCCTGGTCGCAACGAGTTCACTGTGCTCGAACCGCCGAGCTCTCTCCGCTTTCTGCACACGGTGTTTTATATTAGCAGGCCTTAAATACGCGGCCACATGCAGAGTTCACACGCGTATACTGCGGGATAATGGAAGTACGGCCATCACTTACCGAGAGCTGGGACTGACGGCTACCTCAGCCCCTTTAAATCCAAAATGTCTCCGGCACAGCGAGATTCTCCCAGAAGCCTCTGCGGCTGGGGTTGGTGTAGTGACGTCATGTTTTGTTTTTGCCACTTTTCTTTCTTTCTATCTTTATACAATACAGATACAAACAATAGATAAGAATAAAGAGATATGATGATAAATAGATGATACAGATAGCGATAAGAGATATGATAGAAGATAAAAGAGAATACGATAGATAACAGATAAAAATAGATAGCGATAGAATAGAGAAAGAAGGTAGATAGATTAAGACAGACAACCAGATACAGGACAGACAGATAGACAGATAGATAAAGAGATACGATAGAAGATACGATAGTACGTAGATACGATAGAATAATACGATAGTAGATAAGATAAGGACAAAAAAAAATAGATAAGATAGAAATAAGGATAATAGATAATATGATTATGATGAGATACGATACATAGACCAGACAAGCCAGACAGACATAGATAGAGTAGACTATAGATAAAAGAGATAGAAGATAGAAGAAATAAAGAGATATGATAGATAGATAGATAGAATAGAAGATAGAAGATAGAAGATAAGATAGATAAGATAAATGATTTA